CGGCATTATAATATATTAATGGATGTCAAATAGAAAAGCATATAGTAAGTTTTTAATCGATTTCTCAAATGAATGTTTGAAGAGCGAAAGCCAGTCATACCTACTCAGTTAAATGTCTTGACATCCCGTATCTTTTGAATCTTAATTTTGCTATGACATTTCTTCATGGAAGGCAAGACACTGATCGTTTACATTCCTTAATCATAATCAAGTAGAAATTTCAATATAGAGTGAAAGCCACCCTTATCCATTCAGCAAAATTCCTCGTTTGATAATTAATAGTACGCTTATCTCATTTTAAAGCTTCCCGACAAATTCACTTAATAAAAATGCATTCATACTTCATTTTATTTGATGTTCAGTTCTCATTGTCATAACCATTGTTATTTAATTTAAAAATCTGAAATAGTAACAAGTATGAAGGCATATGGATTATTTTGAATAGAACTGAATGAAATAGTGCTGAAATAAAAAGAGGTGCGATATCAGCCGTAATTAGCCGATATTATTTACTTCACGTACGTATTAATCAACCAGGCAATTTTTGCATAATTATTTTTGTTTTATAAAATGTTATTAAGAAGTTCCTCTTAGTTGCAAATTCAATAAGTTTTGTTGGGTGGTAACACTGCATGCAACGCACAGTAACAGTTTCTGTAAACAGAAAAAAGCTTAGTTTGAAAACTGCATACTACTTAACTTTTAGAGCATTTTTTAAACTTTCTTTAGCATTATGCATTTTTGGAATAAATTAAATATTTTCACCAAATGCGTGGTAGTGTTAATTGTTATTGGAAACTTTTTGCAATTGTTATAGATAGCTTTTCGAATTGCTTAATGAACTAGCAAAGTAAAACAATTCAACAAGAATATTTTCAGATAAAAATAGCTTAATTGATTTTAAATCTCAAGTTTAGATAATTGAACATTCAGAAGAATATAAAGTGCTACGTAGTCTTGTTTTATAAAAAAAAAAAAACCAAACAAGATTGACTGGAATCCAATGAAAAGTAAATGCTTTCTGATTGATAAAAACGAAATCAATTTCTAACTGATAAAAAAGTATCTGGAAGGTGAGTTAAATGAAAGCGCTTCAATATGTTAACAGAAACTGTCAAATATTTTTTGCATTTTTTAAAATTCTTTTTGCTCCAAAAGAATTCAATTGAAAATAGCAAAGCAATAACATAAACATGGACTATAAATAATAGTTTATAACTTAGAGAGTTCGTAACTTAGGAAGAGCAACTTTAATCTAACATTTGAAAATAGAAATTATGAAGTCATAAACTGATGTTAGCATATTTCAAGATCAGTTTGACTTTTGGCTTTTGTATGACACTTTCTAATTTTTGCATTATGAAAGGTTATGAAAAGTTTGCCACAAGGTAAAAGAAGAAAGAAAAAGAGTAGGGAAGGAAGGGGAAGAATTACATTCATTTAAAAAAATAGGCACAGCTTTTATCGGAGGTGTCGAGAAAGTTCGATAAATTGAATGTAGAATTGGAAAAGCTCACATTGCAGTATTCTTGGCTTTCATGTGTAGCAAGCCTATAATTTTTGGTAGCACAATTTCTTTTTTTTTTTTACTTTTCTAAAAATTGAAAATAAATACAAATTGGAAGGAACAACAAAGTGAGCTGTCGAATAAGCGATTCATTTTGCAGACATTTTATGCGGTAATGACATTTCTAATTAATTAAACAACGTTTTTTTCATTTATATTAGATCAATTGTTAGAATAAAAGAAGTGTTGCAAGATTACTTTGTATATTGCCCGCTTGCAGTTTGTGACAGTGAAAATGATTGGTGATATATGAAGCGATTGATTTCAAAAAATTATATAAACTCTTTACTATGAAATTATCCGTTATTTGCTTATTCGAAACTATAATTTCTCATTTATTAGCATGAATTATTATTATTATTGATTGTAAAAAAAAATGGCTCAGTCAGTGGAATTTACTTTTTGTCACGCCGCCTTGTTTAGGTGTCACTGCTAATACATAAAATGTAATACACTATATTACAAGGTCACTAAACTGCAAAGTAAATGAAGCTTTGATGATACCGTATTACTTGAGTTTATCGTTGTCATTTAGATTGCTTTCAGAACTCTTTTGTTCACTGACGTTCAAAAATATATTTAAGTCTGTTTATAACTTAAGTAATGCTCGAACTTCAAAGAGGTTATCACTGAGTTTAAATATTTCCTTTTCTTAGGATTCACTAATTACAAGCAGTGAATACTACCATTTTTATTTAAAATAAATTTTCCTCATAATGCTAATTAAATTTTCTACTCAGTTTTCTCTTCCATTTTTAATATGTCACATTTACGTTCACTTTGACTTGTAGTAGTTAATGTGGTCGTTCAGAAATGCAAGCAGTATTATATAGATGAAGAGAAGGAATCGAATCCGGTTAAGGAACAATATGAATACTTAAATGGAATAATAAAAATGATTATTTCAAAATTAGCCCAGTTGTCGAGACTTTCTTTTTGCCTCATCAATTAGTTTAGATATCATTGCTGACACACACATGCTTGTAATATATGCCCTGCAATATACTATTTATAAAATGCACTCTTCACTGAAAACATTTCTGTGCTGATCGGAGCATGCGACATGCGTCACATTTCGATGTTCTTTGAGTAAAGATGGAAGATCGTTGATACACCAAATGCGGTCAGCATGTAACGAGAAATGGGTAATTAGAATGATGGATGATGATTTACCTTGATAAAGAAGCAAAAGTGAAGGTAAGCAATTAAATGAAAGGCTCTGCATCTCAAAGAAATTTCACTTATGTCCTTAATTCTGTTTGTTAGAAAGTAGAAATAGACTACTGACAGTTGTTATTATATTCCCTATGTTGGATAGTATTTCTGATTCAGTTAAATGACTTAAGCAAATGATTAATTTTGAAAATGCATCTTAAATGCTTATTTCCCTAGCTCTACATATCATCTTTATATATGTCAACAATTAATTGTGCTCCCTTCTGGCTGCGATAACAAAGAAGGAAAGAATCAAAAGAGTTATAGTCTGATCTAAAACAAGGAAAACATTTTGACTAATTTTTGTAAAAACGAGTAGTCAAAAAGATTTTAATAAAAGATGATAAAGCTATTTTGACATTTGACTAATTGAAAAATTTTCACTGTTTCTTTGTTCCATATCAAATGATGAATATTTGATTTAAAATATTTTTTGTTAATTTTGTTAATTTTTGTTAATTTAAAATTCTGACTACTAACTGTATTAAACCTCTTTTTAAAAGTCATATGGAGTCTCAGTAAGATCTTCCAAGAAACAAAGCATGAAATTTGAATTAAATATCTCAAGCTTGTTGCCTTTTTTTATTTTGAAATTCCGTTTGTTCCCTTGTTTTATCTTATTTCGAAGAGAAGAATTACATCTCATATTTTCCTCTTAATGATATTTACATCACATACGTCTAGACTAAAATCATAATTATTAGTGCTCCATTACGAGAATCCTTAAAATAATCTATAATGTCAATGGCAAAAATTATGTATGCAATTTGAAAATATTTTAAAAAATGGTAAACAAGCAAGTGTGTTAAAAAAAATTGACATTGAGCGAAATGCATTCTAATTCCTTAACGTATCATTCATTTGATATGAAGTAATTTGATATACGAAAATAGCAAGAAACCTAGAAATTATTCATGCGTAGTAGAAAAATATTTTTGGCATTCTTTGAAGTTAATTCACGTGACATTTTTTATTTTCAAATGATATTTTCTTATTTCAGCGCCTTACCCTCCTAATTTATAATCTCAGTGGTCATTGAATTGAACTGTCTTTGATTTTTTTCATTCTTTCTTCTTCTCTTTACATCCTTCTTCCCACTTCCTCTATTTCAATAATTACTTGAAACAAAACCCAAATTAATTTTTTTGTGGTGTTCATTTTAAAAGGTTATCATCATTGCATCATAGTTTGATTTCAACTAATTTTTACAAATTTTGTTGTATTTGCTTTTCACTTCTTTGTTTTTAAGGATAAAATTCGATCTTAAGTAATGTAGAATCGTTTAAATAACTAGACTTTTATTATCTCAAAACTTCTTATTGAGAAAGAAATGAGTGTTGAAGAGCTTTTAAACGGTCAGCAACCAACGATTTCGAACAGAAAAGCGCAATTTATAATATGCCCTTTTCGATTAGCCTAAAAGCCCAACAAAGAATAAAAAATAAAAAGTTAACGTGAAAGATAAACAAAAATGCTTTTACTGTAATGATATTTGAAAATCTGCGGTAAAGTTAAAGACTGAAGGAATTATTAAAGGTTTTAAATAGGCTTAAACTGTTATCCTTGTTTGTTCTTCTTGTTTTCTCCTCATCCAGGAATCAGAAGTTTTATTCCAAGTTCCGTAAATTCAGTATTTTTAGACTTTTTACGTAAATATAGTATCACACGAATAGATACAAACTTGGAAATTCTGTGTAAAAATGTCAACAAAGTCACTTTAAATAATAATTGGTCTAAAAGTTGAATTCTTTAATTCACACTTGCGCTTACACTTTCGAAGTCGGAAAACCAAATAGAACAAGTCTGTAATGCATGCGAATCTTGTACAAATGTTATGCTAATGCAAGAAAGACACGAAAGTTTTTAATAGACCAGTTGAGTTCCGGAAGTTTTCTAAATGTAATTCAATTCGGTGTTACTCAGAACTGATCTTAATTTCACAAAATTATTCCTAAAATACTTTTACTTACCATTCGAAAGATTTGAACATTCTCTATAATTTTTGATTTTTATTGAAGCTGCGATTTATTTACAGACTTTGATAGTTTTTTTCAATAGCTTATGAAGAAAGTTTTGCAGAAGGAGAAATGACTGTTTCCTGATAGTTGTTTCTTTGAAGCATTTGTGGAATTGAGCAATAAAAAAGATATTGAGAGGACGAAGAAACGATATCAAATATTGTCAAGATCAATGTAAAAGAAATCTAAGCTCTTTTGGCATGCCTGTCGTTAAACGAGGACTCGTCGCACCACAAAATACATTCCTTGAAAATGTTATCAGGCGCTGCAATAATTCTGGTATGTTCAACAGCTCTCAAAGCTCTCAAAGAACTAATAATAAAAATAAGAAAGGTTACCCTTAGATTACTGGAATCTAAACCAAACATCAGCAAATTGTACTTCTGGAATTATTTATCAAAACATATCGAGGAATATTCCCACGACTTAAGCAAATCGCCAGCTGCTGTCAAGTTGCTAATCACAAGGTGTGATTAGGTAATTTATGCGTCTTCCCGTGTGAGCTGCTGGGTAGTTCAAGTTATGCATGTTGCATGCTATCTCAGATATGCATTTATTAGAAAATCTGTTATAGTAAATGTATTTCCGTGTAGGATAATTAAAGTTCAGAAATACATGTCATTTCATGTTAACATTTTCCACCACAAAATTTTTGGTTCATTAGTCTTATTTTTATTTGGAGAGGAAACCTTTTTTGTAGCTGTAAATTTCAATGGAATTATATTCTTTCATTTCAGATAAGCCGTAAGAGATTGGTAGTAACGAATCATTCACATAGTCTACCTCCCACTGTCAGCTTCTGGAATTTACTACTGTTGTTAGCTAGAAATTAAATCTGATGTTATAAACGAAATTGGAACTAAAACATCCATTTAAAGAAGTTATACGTAGATTTTCTAACTCTGTTGTATATTGATTAAAATGAATTGTGTTTGATTTAAAAGATGCAAAATTTTCATTAAATGTCTAATTTACTGCTTTTGGTATAGATCTGTCTTTTTGCAGATACTAGTTTTATACTAGCAAACGCTCAAATAGTAGAATATCCGATTGTTTACTGTAACGATGGTTTTGCTAAAATGGTAGGATATTCCAGGGCTGAAATTATGCAGAAACCTTGCTCGTGAGTTTAATCAGTGTTATTTTTATAAAAAATGAGTGAAATTAGAAGGATTAGGCTATAGTGGATTGGATAACTTTTTGTTTATTTAATAGTTTTATTTTGAAGACTTTCCTTCATGCATGCGGAGTACAGTGGACCTGAAGCAGTAAAGAAGATTCAAAATGCGCTCGATATGTGTCAACATGAAAGAACAGAAATTGGTCTACGAAAGAAAAACAGTTCCGTTTTAGAAAACAATTTAATATTCCTTAGCAATATTCGCTTAATTTAGCTCTGAATTTAAACTGTTTTTTAACGTAAGGTAGTTGAAAAGTAAACAGAAGGTAAGGATCTATGGAAGCGCATCTACTGAAATTTCTTTGTGTTTTAATTGAACTTCGTTATGTTTATCAGGTTCGAGATTATTTTAATTTCATTTTAATTTCTGAAAATTAGATGAAATTTAGTTTAAAGAAGTTTAAAAACTTTCTAGGAAGTGTCCTTTGGTTGTTGGTGCATATCGCCCCAATCAAGAATGACCGTAATCAAGTGGTATTATATTTGTGCCAGTTCAGGGATATCACGCCCCTTAAACAACCACTTGATGATGAGAATAATAAAGGTTATCAATTTCTGATTTTGTTAACTTAAAAGCGTTTTGTGTACCTTAAAAAAATTTTCTGTTGCTGAAAAAAGTTTTTCTTTATGCCTAATTTCTAGAAAACTTAACGAAAAGAGATTTTTAGCTAAATCTATCTTCATTAATTGCTCCCTATTAGAACCATTTCATTTGATGATTAGAATCACTAAATGATCGATTTCAAATGGTAGAATATTCCTCAGCAGAACAAGAAAATAAAAATAACTAGCATGAATTAATGATTGCTCTCTCGTTCTTCATGAGTGTAAATTTATGTATGACATCAAGAAATCTTGATAAATTAATATCATTGATTATCATATTGGAGTCTTAAAATTAAATGATGAGCATTTTTTTTTATTTTAGGCTTTTCACGAATTTTACAAATTGCAAGAATTGCAAAAAGCAGACAACAATTTAATCAAATTGAAACGAAAGATCTGCACAAGACGACAAGCACGACGTCATCAAACTTCAATCAGGTTATCAAAGTTTGTCTTGCTGTACTTTCATTTTCCTTTCATTCGCATCACTCATTAAAATCACTTCTATCCACACATCATTTCAAGATATCATTGTTTTTCACTAACATAAGGTGATCACAATTTAATTAAAAATTTGACAGAAATTTTTAGACAAATAATTTGACATATATATGTACTAATAAAGAGTCTTAATAACTAAAAATTAGTGTCAATAATAAGATAAAGATATGAACTGTATCATCAGGTGATGAACCTCGGTGGCGATTTACTACCACAGTATCGGCAAGAAACACCAAAAACTTCACCACACATCATTTTGCATTACTCGACATTTAAAACAATATGGGATTGGTCTATTTTGGCTCTTACTTTCTATACTGCTTTTATCGTACCTTACAATATTGCCTTCAAGGTTTCCTCTTTTTTTTTTGAACTACAATTAACCATGAAATTATTTATTAGATCATTGCTGGTATTTCTGATTGCATTTTCATCATTTTTCCTATAAAATTTCAATCTGTAATTTTTTGTTAAAGTATTCTTAATTAGTAAATAAAGTTGATGCTGATCTCAAAATTTACATTACATGAAGGCTGAAGTTTGCTTGCAGACACGGGAACATCCACCCCGTGGTAACATTGATATGGTCGCTCTAATGGATTCTATCGTTGATGTGATTTTTTTTGCTGATATTTTATTAAATTTTCATACAACATTCGTTGGACCCGGTGGTGAGGTAAATCTTCTTTTAATAACAAAATTAGAAAAATGGAATAAATGAAGTAAAATATGAATTTCTTATATGAAATTTCGAAAATAATCTGTAAATTTTATGGATGTCGGGGAATTGAAATTTATAGTTTTCAAATCAATTATATGTTGTGGAGTAAACCGATAATCGTACTTAAATGTTTTCATTCTTACTGAATAAAAAAAAGAACTGCAACAAGAGCAACAATTATAATTCATGGGTAGTTTTTTTCAAGAAATGCTAAAAGTGAACAAGGAAACATTTTCTTGACAAGGAAAACATTTTCTTGTGCAGTGCTCAAAATTGTATATTGTTGTTTGTATATTTTGTTCGTTAAATGAGTCTAATTTGATTATTTGAAATTTTTTTGCAACCACATCACAAAATTAAATTTTCTCTTAAAATTAAAAAAAATTTACAACTTTAAAATATTATAATAACTAAGTGTTCGTGTACAATTCAATGAGCAACATATATCCGTCATCAACCTCAGTGAAGATTATCTATTTACTTTTTTTAGGTAGTAATCGACCCGAACGTAATTAGGTATAACTATTTTAAGTCATGGTTTCTTATCGATCTTCTCTCTTGTCTTCCATATGATATATTTTATATGTTTAAGCATAATGATGAGGTAAGCTCTATTTCAATTTGTCCTTTTGGTACTTTTTTTTTGTTCCATCTTTTTAAATTACCAATTCCGTACATTTATAATATAAAATAAAGAGAAATTTCATTGCAATTTCCATTTATTGAAATGGTTTAATGATACTAGGAACGTTATTAAATGGATTTGTTTACAGAGGATGGGATCATTATTGAGTGCATTGAAAGTGGTACGTTTACTTCGACTTGGACGTGTAGCGCGTAAGCTTGATAATTATTTAGAATACGGAGCAGCAACGTTACTTTTACTTTTATGCGCTTATGTACTTGCTGCTCATTGGTTAGCATGCGTATGGTTTTCCATTGGTGAATATGAAGTTAAGATAAGGGTATATTTTCATGCTATTTTTTAAAATTTTCTAAGTCGTCTTGTATAAATGATGAAAAAATCATTCAAATATGCAAATTGATACCATTCTTTTGTAATGATTGAATTGATGAAATTGAGTTTTAAGCTTTAAAAAGATCTTCCAAATATTTAAATTTAAAATTTTCTTGTAACAGTTCGTTATTTCCAATTTTTTCAGTTTTTAGTACCAACTATGCCTGAAGGATGGTTAACTAAGCTATCGAAGGAATTGAACTCGCCTTTTAATTATACATTCAAGGATAGATTGAGGTTGATTGGTGGACCTCAGCGAAGTTCTGCTTACATTAGTGGTAAGAATGTCTTTATTTTCAGATCTGCAATGATATTATTTTACTATCGACTACAAAATACACGCATTAACAAACTTCTAAGGTTTTATTTCTCGCCTTCTCTGCGATTCTCAAAATAGACAAAGTGTAATTCCTAATTAATTAAAAGTTATTGAATTGATCCACAGCGCTGTATTTCACGATGTCCTGCTTATCAACAGTTGGATTTGGCAATATAGCATCCACAACTGATAATGAGAAAGTGTTCGGTGTGTGCATGATGATCATTGCTGCACTCCTATATGCTGCCATATTTGGACATATGACAAATATTATACAGCAAATGACATCAGCTACTATAAGGTTACTGATACTTTCATTTCATTTTGATGATAACATAATTTTTCCTGGCATATTGAAGATGGAAAAAGAAAAATGACTGCAAAGTGTTCCTAGATGAAGTTTTCATAATTATCAGAAGATGCAAATTGTTGAGGAAATTCAACTTCACTTTTCCGTGAGTAATATATTGGTTCTTTCAGATACCATGACATGATAGCAAATGTTCGAGAATTCATCAAATTACAGGAAGTACCAAATGAGCTTGCTGAACGCGTAATGGACTACGTAATTAGCACTTGGGCCATGACTAAGGGTATCGATACGTCAAAGGTCTTTTATTTTCTTGGGAAAACTGCTTTTGAAAAAAAATGCGGCTAACGTGAAAAAATTTCGAGAGAAACTAAATGTTTTGATTTTCAAGGTAAACATTGCTAAATGAAGATAATCGGTGACACTCTAATTTTAACTGTAACATAATACAAAAAATCAAAATTTGATTCATTTCATTTCACCTAAGGTACTCAGCTATTGCCCAAAAGATATGAAAGCAGATATTTGTGTGCACTTAAACAGAAAGGTATTCAACGAACATGCCTGCTTTCGACTTGCTTCTGATGGTTGTCTTCGACAGTTTGCCGTACATTTAGAGGTTTCTATTCCTTTCTGAAGTTTAAAAATCTTTTCATGCAAAAGAAAATCTCTTGAACTTTGAACCAGAATATTTCTCAACAGACGCTATTGAATTTTCATGAAATTTATGAAAGTATATCTTATTACAAAATTGAATTGTTGGATCCAGTACTATTGAAACAAGCATTCATATTTCTCAAAAATTATGCAAGGCTTAATTGCAGCAAAAAATTTGGCCACGCAAATGTTATATTTAAATCACTAATTGCCTGATATATCTAGCACTGAATCATTACGTAACTCTGAATGTATTGATGATTAACAAAGATATAAATTAACGAAGAAAATTTGTTGGTAATGATGAGGATGTTTTAAAAAACTTGATGAGAATAATTTCAGAGCAATCATGCAGCTCCCGGTGATTTGATTTATCATACTGGCGAATCGGTTGATGCATTATGGTTTGTTGTTTCGGGATCGCTCGAAGTAATACAGGACGACGAGGTTGTCGCCATTTTAGGTACTCTTTATTTTACTTCTTTTTAAACATTGTGCTTTGTATCAGACTTAGAAATCTTGAAAGCTGATACTTCTAGTTATGATGCTTTTGACTTCAGTCATTGGATTTGAAATGATGGAATAGTTTGCACCGCTTGTTGCTAATTTATAAAAAGATTCAGGAAAGGGTGATGTTTTCGGTGATGAATTTTGGAAGCAACTTGGGACAGGTCAAAGTGCTGCCAATGTGCGTGCTCTCACTTATACAGACTTACATTCCATAAAAAAGAATAAACTTATGGAGGTAAACAAATTGTTTTCTACATTTAAATGACAATTAAATATCTCAAAAAAGGATAATTTTTTCTAAAATCTTTTATAGAAACTAAGATGACGACTTACGTGGTTTAATATTTTAGTTTGAAACTTATCAGATCGGTAGATGAATGAGATTTCAAAAACTCATTTTAAATAGCTTGGAAATGTTTTTTCTTCCGGACTATTTTTAACTGAAAAGAGATTTTTACAAAATGATTTGCTAAAGAACTTTCAAAAAAGCAATTTCAGGTGCTTGATTTCTATAAGGCATTCGCGAATTCGTTTGCTCGCAATTTGGTGCTGACATATAATCTTACTCGTCGGGTACTTTTGTCTTAAGCAATTTTTTCCCTTCTCATATTTGATGCACTAATTACATTAATATAACAAAAAGAATCGTTGACATACAATCATATTCGGAACTTGTGTCTTTCAGTTGAAATTCCGTAAAGTAGTTGACGTGAAAAGAGAAAAAGAATTGGATGAAAGACGTAAAAATGAGAAGCTTACGGTGCCAGCAGAACATCCCATCCGGAAACTATTATTTCGGATGCGCGAGAGACATGGTACCCGAATACTTCCATCGCAGGTCTTTGCTGATCTCGAATTGGTTCGTTGATCATTTAGCAACATCGAAAATATGTAATGCAAAGCAATCGTTTTCATTTCTAGTGAGAGTAAGTATTTGGCAAATAATTTGTAAGCAAGTGATTTCCGAGTTATAATAGTCTTAACAGCGGCCATATTATTAGGATATAAAAGTAAGAGTTTTAGCAAGCCAGGACAAGGCCATCGGGAGTACGAGCAACTGCTGCTTCAACAGATAATTTGAATGAAGTGCGTTGGATCATTGATGCTCAACGAAATACAGACAATATTGTAAGTTCCGCATTTCACAAGAGTTTTCGCCCTTCATTTCACAACTTTGACGTTTTACATTATTCGTAAAACAACCATCAAAATATGCAGAAAACATATTTCCAGTCCTTTATCTAAACTGAAAGTTTTTATCTCTCGTGAGCCTAACTGATGCAGATATTTGGTAAGACCAAAGTAAGGTAATTGCAACAGAAATGAATAAATTTGCAATGAATAATATCGTTTAAGAAGCCAAACGTACTTCCTCCCGAACTAAAGTTATGCTTCGAGCGCATTGAGGAGAAATTGAATATGGTTAATTATATCTCTCATAAGCTGGAGAATTTGGAAAAGCTTGTTTTCGGATTATATCATCACGCTGGAGGTGTGTTCTTTTCTGTGAGATTTCACGCATCTTTGCATCACTCTTCATTAGTAAATAGATGGAATTTTAATCTCATTTTATGCCTACTTTGTTCAATCTAGATTAGGAAAACAAAGGCGCCAGCGCAAAAGCGCATAAGAGAATTTGTTTGGCGGTTTTGTGCGTCTGCTAGAGCACTCAATTATTGTATAACAAAACGAATACTTCTAACCTGTTCGTTTCATCCGAATCCACTAAATGAAATGATTAAAATTAACAAACGATCCCAAAAAATATTAAAAATCTAATGATGATAAGAACTTCTCTGCAATGCAGAAAGTGATAAAGTGAACATTACTGGAACAAAGGAAAACGGACAACGACAGTCATTATCTCCGACGATTGCAATGGGTTTGATGAATCGAACAAATACGGATCCATTTGCCTCATTTAATTCACCGCCAAGTATTGAATCAACAACCCAGTTAGCCGTTTCCATTCCACCATTGCAGGATCTCAGTACGGATGACGGAAATGATGAATTTCAAACGTCAGCGCCAAATTTTGCCACACTGATATATGTCGAAGATGAAATAGCAAATGGTAGTTTGAGTCCACCCAAACTGAAGCGTATTTGATAACTTATATTACATAAATAAGACAAAAATAGATCATAACACTCGATTGGTGGTAATTCGATATCATTCAATTGATCAATGCGTGACACAAGACTCAGGGCAGGTCTCTAGACTTTCTGTGGCATGGCGCAAGAATGATAGTAGTGATTTCTTGATTCACAATCCAAATATGGAAATTATTTTCCCATCCTTTATCTCGTTGTGCCTTTGTTCATCTTTTTATCTACTTAAAAGTTTAACCTATGCAAATAACCTCAAAATATTTGGATTTCTTAAATATAAAGATTTTCCTAGACTTGAGTTTCTAAGTTTTTCTAGACTAACTGTTTTTTCTTAATTTTTTTTTTGTTAAGTTTGGTTATTTACTTCGAATAACCGGAAAAAAGAAAAGATTGGTTTTTTGCATTCTTCTCTGTAGTTGAAAATTATTGTTTTGTATCTGATTGGCGAAATGTATCATTTGGAAATCTAAAAAATTCACTCCAGAATCAGTTCATCTTATTAGCTTACAACTCTGAAATAATTGCTTGTAAGCTCCGCACAATTTTCTTCTAAATAAATTAACTATTTATATTAATGCATTTGGTTCCGCATTTGTCGGTTGCTTGAATTCATTGAACAATCCTTCTACAAAAAAGTTTTTTAGATTTAATTTGCTGACGTTAATTTCCAGAAATTTGATTATAATTTTTAACTTCCATATCTTGGTATCTTTATGGTATAAAAATATCAGTTCCACCACCGCATAAATACGAATTTTTATTTTAGAACACTTACAGATATTTTGAATTGGAAAAAGAAAGAGAGAACTTGGTGAGAGGAAGAGAAGGAAAGGGCATTTTGAAATTCAAAATTTTTGACTGAAATATATTCAAATGCAATAGCAGACAAACTCGCGAGGCATCCTATTGATTTCATCTTGATAGTGATCTTTAAGCGATAAGAACTATCACTAACGAATAATTACATGCTTCATAATGCTGAAAATTGACCAACTAATCCTCCTGATATGATATGCAAGAATGATAAAGTTACAGGATTATGATGATTAATTAGCAACGAATCCGAAATTAATTAGAACAGTTTTGATTATTTGCTCGTTATTCCATTCAAATAAAGTAATATTGAGGTCAGTGCATCATAAAAAGCAGCATTCGAATTTGGAATCTCATAACACTAATTGTGCGACGCACAATTAGCGCTATCTTACTAAGTGATTTCAGGTGTCGGCGTTTTTCTCCTGTTTTTTTTTTTTTACTTTTTCAAATTGAATCAAGTTTTCTTCTTTTTTTCAACAAAATTAAATTGTGCTAGTTATTGCTCTAACTCACTGGTTTTTGGATTCTAAACTTGCAGAAGCGAAACAAATTTCTTTACATTTATAATTTACAAAAGCATTTTACTGTTGTATGTCCAACCCCTTGAAATAGTAAAAATGTCATTCAGGCCTTTTGTAAAGTAAAATAGTTTCATAGCAATCATTAGGACAGCAAAAAGTAAATAATTTGCTTTATTATGTCACATAGTTGTTGTAGATAACAAATAAATGATTAAGTATAAGCTTAAAGTTGGTTGATTGGAAGCATCGGTGGAAAAATACTTATCGAAAAAGTGCTGACGTCGCTTTGACGTGGATTCAGAATATGAATTTGCACTGTAGCAACTTTTCTCATTGCACTGATCAGTTGCACAGAAACACCAATGTTCTGCTATGTCGTACTGAAACGCTTCCATATACTGCGGTAAAGTTCTGATTGATCAAATAAAACTAACAGTTTTGTAAAGTCATAAAGACATAAAGACTCATGAAATTTGTGAAAAATATGTATTTATGGGAAGACTCACCATATCAAATTCAGATGATAAATAATTGCCGATTTGAGAAACACGTGAATGTGGGCCAAGACCTATTTGCGAGTGCTGGTCTCTGGTTAGGAACTGCGAAGAACAACCGCGAACGGTTCCTGTAATCGAAATTGCTGAGGAACATTTACAGAGCTCGAAGTCCACCAATCTTCTAAACTGTTTCATTTCCGCTTAGTTCGATTTCTTTCTTACAAGGAGAAATATAATGAAGGGAATATTGAACTTTTCCAGCATAGTTATTTGAAAAACTGCTTAGTGCTTATAAAATTTCAGTGTGACACTCAAGAATTACTTTAACTATTCAAAACTTGGAAATTTCCAATACATATCACATTGTCATATTTAGGGAATTTCGAACTTCCCACCAAGAATAGTGACTACTCCATTGTGCCGGTTGGTACCATTCAGATACATAATGAAACAGGTTGAGGGACAAAGTTGCGTTATTTCAGGTGTATAATCCGATTTAGCACAGCTCTGGTCACTTGCTGTAATACCATAATTTCGTTTCAAAAAGAAATGTCTCCAGTGCCAAACAATAAAATCATTTGCACATGAATAACATCTGATTGCTTCCACCATAGCAATACCCGACAGGAAATAGTAATGGAGAACAAGGATGAGTAATGGCAGATTATGCGATGAAAATATGGACGAAAAGTATGAAATCATCGATGATAAAGCATCGGTACTTTAAAGGTTATCATTCGCCTTCTTTGATGTGACCTCTTTCATGTAGCATTAAATATAGTTGCAATTGTATTACTTTAAATAAATTATTCCTTGCATCACTTTATAGAGGATTTTTACATACTTTGCAGTTCAGTTTATCAAAAATCCATTCCTGAAAATTTCTGGAAATTATTTATTTTAATCAAATATTCAAATAACACCTCATTACTTGTACATGTTATCGTCGACGATTGCAACATCATTTCTTCCAATTACTTTTGTTATGACAAAAGTCTATCATACATCACAGAGTCCTAGCAATACTTTCAAGATTCTATTGCTAAAATAATATAATATCACAAAAAATATTTCAAAAAAATCAATAACTAGAATTCAATAGCTAATTTGACAGTTCTTTTCAATATGACATTGGAGGAGCATTTCCATTTGTTTGATTTTATCGACCGTTGCTTCAAGGGACTATGCTATATTGAAATTCGGGGAGTTATATTTGGTAAAAGGGGCAAACCTACTGCTATCACAGCTTCTTGCATTATAGGACCTCAGCAACTATTATACTTTCAAGTAACATTGCAAAACTTTAGAGCTTAGCAAGTGAATAGTGGTCTAATAATTGCTTTAGCAATTATTAATACATACCTTCTTTTCCTACTTCTTCATATAGATGCTAATATGTAAAATCTTGCTTTCTCTTCTTTAAAAATAATTAAAAAAGGAATAATGTCCCATTAGTTTTCAATTTTCACGAAAGGTATGAAAATGCTAACAAAATTCGATGTAATTCATTTGCAAAAAATACGAATTGAAATGTATTAGACCAAAATTAGACATTGTTTTTTAGAAATTCCTTTCTATCCGACTAGAAATTCACTAATAAGTTTATGTTTCGATGTGCCAATTCTTTGAAAAGGGAAATAGTCCACGAATTGCTCCATTTTAATGAATACATGGGCACAGCTTAGATAGGAAGGAAAAAATTATTGCTCCTTTCTAGGCGATAATGAGATTCACTTTAAGCGTTTGTAGTACGGAAGCATTTACGTGGGAATCCAATACAGCAACTTCTCTTTCTCAAGTTCTATACTAAAATTTTAGTTTTTTTCTCTTTTTTTAACAGCTAAGATGTTTGTCCTTCTTTTTCCTAGGAATGGACTGCTAGAAAACTGTCATTTGTCCAAGCTTTATAATATCTTCATGGAAAATTATTAGGTAAATTCGACCCACAACATTTCAGGATGAAAATAAGGACGAAAGTAAGCAAATAAATAAAGTTAAAAGTTAAGTCTTAAAAGTTAAGTTGCTAACCATTAGTTTAATTTGTCTTGAAAACCGATCTATCCAACCAAGTGACTAAGAAACGAAAAGGATAAATGCAAATACTGGCGTAAATACAAAGATTAATGTTACGAATTGATGCAAGGCTTGTTTATCAGATGTGAGTGCTTGAAGCGTGAAGTAATACTTTTTAGTTATGATGCGAAAAAACTGGATTGGTATTTTAAGCAGTTAATAAATATGTGTAAACTTAGGCAGCAAATATTTCATTGTTATATCCAAATTTCAAGTGCTTCAGACTAACCGATTGATTTTGAAATCGGGATGAAGAAGACAATAGCCATCGTGATGATAATCAGTAAATAGCTTAGCAAAATGTCTCAAAGTTGCTTACAGCCTTTCAAGCATCCTACATCCAAAAAGTAATCACTTTTGCTGATACTAGGTAAGCTGAATCAATATTTGTACAGTTTTTTAACTGCAGAGCAAAGGAATCACTGCTACTGTTTTCATCAACAATTACTGTTGTTGTTTGCGAATTGGAAGATTAAATCATTTCCAATTGTTCTAACGACTGAAGTACAATAAAGGACAAAAGAAAATTGTATGGAATCAAAATGCATCAGTAAGTAGATCAAATAGGGGGACTTGCACATTCAGCCAGTAACCTCATGGTAAATTCAAAAAAAAAGAAATCCATATTTCTTATTTCTCAAATAAGCTATCTGCTGTCTGTTGGCATATGTTTAATCTTTAATTAGTTTATTCATTTGAAAATATAAATAAGCTCAATGAGAACAACTTGTATTGAATTTTTCCAGCTTCCGAAATATACTTCACTCATTTTTCGAAGTTAACTGGCAAGAAATTATTCACTACTGGGAAGAGAGAAAAGTTCAAAGTTCAGCTGAGACAAAAATCATTCATTTGGAAAATGCGATAATGCTATAATTTATATTTTCTTTATGGAATTCAAAGACTAACTGAAAGGCTTATAAAATCTTCTTCGAAAGACATGCCCATTTATGCATATCATTTGCATCATATATACTTGGCAATATATGATAAGTTATTTAATTAACATTGAGACTTAACTCAATAATGCCATCGCCGAATGTACAAAAAATCAGGAAATTGACTAAAAATTAAAATAAAAGGAAATGAACAATAAATTTAATATATCATTTGTTAATAAGGTCTTCAAGATACTGGCTATTTCCACTTCAATTTGAAGATAACGAAGTAATCTTTCAGTGCACTTTTGGAAGCAATAAAATAAGTGAACGATCAGTTGATCGATAAAAACCAGTAAATATGATCTCTTGTTTAGCAAAATTCGATTGAATATATTACAGATACTACAAGAATCCAAGATTCATTAGGAACCATTATAGAATGATAAGTTAGGCCATTGGTAATAAATTATTGGTTTTGCTACAAAAGCAATAGCAAAGACTGAAGAGAAAAAGAGCTAATATATCATTCATTTGTTTTATCTGATAAACAGCTCCTTATTAACTTCTCACAGTAGTTAGTAATTAATTTATTTGACATTTTTTCTTATCTAAATATAAATGATAAAGAGGAAGTTAGATGTCATTATCAGTCTTCATGTATGTTTTCTTTGGCCAAACAAAAGTGAAAATTAATGAACAGCATATGGAAATAAGGAAAACAAGTTGAAACGGTTCTCCTTTCTATGACTTCGGGAATGTTTGTAGGACGGATGCACGCAGTAGTGTTTGTCATCAGTTGAGGACACTGTGAGGCCATCGATTTGCTTAATTCAATGAAATGCTTCAAAAACACTTTCATGAACTAAGGATGCCATAGAAACAGAGTGAAATAGGGAATGAAACTATTAGCCATAAAACTTCTACTTCTTTAAACACTTACGTGTTTACGTGAAATCCAAGAAATCAACAATTATTTATTCAGTTTTCATTCTCTGTATAATCACATTTATCACTCAAGCTTATTTCTAACGTTTTCATAAATTTTAATTTTTTTTTCTGCTATGATTTTTAATTCCTAACTTTTTTGTCCATGCCATGTATAAAGTCAGAAGAAATGAAACTATGAGTGGTTTTGTTGATCAAATTGTACATTACATATTGTAAACACTAGACACAAATGAAAAGGATCTGTTAATGATGGGAGATGATGTAAAGTGATGCAGGAGAGAAGCACGTGATTTAAAAAAGTAATGCAAAAGATGCGCAATATCGCTTTCAAAATGGTGTCTTCTTGATTTGCGCTTTTCACACATCTTTGATCATTGAGAACCACAAGAAAATTTTGACATCAATTGAATTATTTCAAATGTAAGCAAATTCAATGAATACTTTCTGTTATACTTCTTTCCTAGTTTATCCTTTCTACAAAGAATTTATTAATATCTTTTCTATTAAACCAGATGATATATGACTGGATTAGAAATTGAAAAGTTAGTCCATTTACATGATCTGATAAATAAGTTAGTTCATGATGGCAATGTTAGAAATGAATACTGTGAATTGAAAAGCTATGCATAAATTATAGCATTTCATAAATTCCTATTTATCTGTTCACTCTATGCGCAATAAATGTCATCTAATTTTGTGCTCAATGTACAACAAAAAAAAAAGATAGATACTATTATTATATGTGAGAAACTAAGATAATGACAGAATTCTACTCGTTGAAAATAATTCAATTTATCTGCTTATCCTTATCCTAACAGCATCGCTTCATATAATTTACTTGAAAGGATGCAATTGCAATTCTCTTGTAACAATGCGTGGGGAACATTCCGTAAAATGCATTTATATATGAAGCAGTCCGTAAATATATTTATGTTAAAGTGGATTAAGTTTTAAATTAAATTTTTTGCTAGTAAAGCTAGTCTATACTTTGAATTTATAAAAGTAAAGAATAAAGTGAATTTGCAGAGCAGCTGTTAAATTCTGACAAGGCTATACCCTTTGAGGAAACTGTTCGTTTGCTATGATTGTCATTATTATCAGATTTTCGAGGGAAAAAGGAACTCAATGTTGCAAATTGTTTTGTAATTGTGAAACGATTTCATAGAAAAGATACACGAATATGTCGCACTATCATTAAAATTTAAATTTTGTTACCATGTGAACGAGAATCTATGCTTAGTAGCAGAGTACCACTCCAAATATTGGAGTGTATATATTATCTGTTTATCATTTTAGGCTTAAGAATTTGTAGAGGAAATTTAAAAAAATTAAAAGTTAATAATTTGAGGAAGTTTGTCTTTTTGGAAGCTTCAAGTTAAATCTTATGACAGTGAAATAAATGAAACATGTGAAAAGGAATGTCTATATGTTCATTTAAATTCAAAAAATGATCAAATTTGTATGGATAATAAATTAATTGATCCCAAAATCGGAAAATGGAGTAAATGAACATGAATGAAGATCTAAATGTTTGCTGCAAAAAATTACAGACATATCAATTGTCAGAGAATATAAATGCGAAACATTTTTTAAAGAGCCAAATTTGTCCTTTAAAAACACCTCGCATTTATATTATTTCAGCAATTACGGGCCCAGTAATAAAACAAAGATGCACCTAATTTTTTTTGCTTATCGGAATAGAAAAAATCTGCTAATATTAAACTAAGGTTTAATTTAATATAAAAATTAGCTAGCAGTTTCCTTTTTTTCATCTAAAAAGCATATTATGCAAATAATCCATAGCAAGTAATATGTTCAAAAGGTTATAAAATTCAGTTTTAATAGCTGTTTGCAACATAGACGTGATTTTTTTCCAAGTTTAGTCTGCTTTTTTGATCTTAGCTTTTTATCTTGCCCATAAAACATAAAACACTGATATAAAACAAGAAAAAGTGTCTTTGTCTGAGATATATAAAAAGTATAAATCATTGAGCTTGAGGTTGTCCTGAAATCTGTAAAATAGCTCAAGCATTAAATTTGTAACGAAATACTTCCTGTTAAAAAATGAAAGCAACAGAATTATACAAGAATGCGGAGCGGAGGAGATAAGATTGCTTATATGTTAAAAAGAATTTTTAAATGAAATTACTAAACACTTCTCGTATTTCCTCTCATACTTCCTCAACACGATAGATATCTCAAAACAGCTGCTGTTTCGCTTTTTTCTTTTTTTTTTTTTTTGAATTACACATGTCAACAACCTCCACTAATAATTGTTTTTGTCGGCTGAAAGTGGAAAACAAGCAAGTTTCATTGTTCGCTCATTTGTTTGCACTTTTTCAAATTGAAATGAAACAATGAATCGTTATTCATTTTTATGTTCTGAAAGCCAAAGAAAATTAAGAGATACTTTAATAAATTCAATGACAAAACAATGATGTGATATAGGAAAAGTTTTAAGTGAAATAAAGTAGTTCGCGTTTGTAATATCTTTACAACTCGTAACCATTAGAGATAAATGCATTTCAAGGGCCAGAAAGCATCTCCACTTTACTTTGCGTAGCTCATTCTTGTCATCTTGAAGGACATCTTATGCTTGCTTCGAGCCTAATGGGGTCATTTCTTTCCTTTCTAATACTACTCTTCGCGATAATTTTGTTTATTTGAAATACTCAACGTCTCCAAAATATTCCATTCCATTTTCTTTGCTTTCCAGTATTAAATGATTCCTACAAGCAGTATCACGATGGTAGTGAAAATCGATAGTGATAGATTTAAAGTATAATTTTAGGAATTCAATGTTACTTTTATTTATTTGAAGAATTTTATCCGGTAGGCAACTTTTTCATTGCATGCTAATGTATGCATGTGCAGGTGAATGAATGTTATGGATATTTGTATGTATATGCATACGTGTGTGTGTGTGTGTGTGTGTGTGTGTGTGTGTGTGTGTGCAGAAGGAAGACCCAGTTATTATCCATCGCAAATTCAAGGCTTATTACTTGGTTAGAATGGGCGTATAGTTGAATAAAAGAAGATAGGTACATTTATTTTTGAAGATCTTTAAAAATAAAATTAAAGAAAATCTCCGAAATAAAATAAACAAATTTTTGATCTAAACTTCATATTCTCAATAATTCAACGATCCATGCTCATTCACTGATTCTTCCACACTGACTGCCTTCCACTGACGAAAAAATGACATTACCAAACTATCATATCATCAATCCCTTCTTATACCATTTTGTCAAAAAATAACTATACAATGAATGCTATCATAGAATGCAAGGAGGAATGTCATTATAACATCATAAATCGCTCCATCTCAAAATAATCCATAAATGAAAGAAGGATGAATTAAATTCTTGAATCACATCAATAAATGCTGAGCAGTTAAAGTGCAAATATCTTGCATTTTGCAAGCAACACCTTCCATGCTGTACAAGGTATCAGCCAAACTGTTTGAAATGTTAAAATGTTCACTTTTGAATTCAGCCTCGACAATATTAATTTGTATAGATTTCAATGTATGCTATGGAAAAAGCACTGAAGTCTCAATGTATTCAAATAATTTCTAAAGTAAAGGCAAACATTAGCACAGTATTTCATTGTTTGAAATGTACGTCGTGTAAATTATCATTCGAAAAATTAAAAAATTTTCCTCAAGGAATTAAATATAATACACGAAAAGTAATTTAGCAATGCCAACGAAATCATCACAGAATCTAGCAAATTTAAAATCAAACACTTTAGCGTATATTATCCAATTGGTATCACAACTTGCAACTTGGATAGGTAAGATGCTATAGAGTTACTTACCTAAATTGTCTAAACTTGTCTAATTAGAAGAAGGAGTGACCTCTATCAGCAGCAGCTCTCGAAATGAAATAATTTAAAAGGTTAATAACGACTGCTTACGTCTAACTATCAGCAGTAATATGAAATATAGGTAATGAGGTTCTTGTAGTGTCTTTTGACAAATGCTTTATTGGAATGCTTTCAAAAAAATGAAGATAAAAAATAAAAAACTACTAATCTAAATACTAAAAGTATAAATTTATAAATTACAAAATCGTGCCTGTGTATTGGCGTTTCACTTAATATCTGTTTATCTGAAATTTTTGTCTAACAACTTCCAAATCTTTCAGAAAATACAAAATCAATTTGGGCTATCAAAATGAAATGGACGATTGGAAAGATTAGTTATTGATGGTCGGTAGCTAATTACAAATCATGAATAAGCTGAATTGGTTGCGGAAAATATACTGAAAAGATAAAAATTTTGCATCAGATGCAAATATGAATGCGAATTAAATGATCTTCGCAATAAAAATTAGGAGCAAAATGCAATTGTATTAAAAACTAACGAAATTACTTCTGAGTGGTCGCTTTCTCTCTTACTTCTGCAATGAATCTGCTGGATAGATCAACTCAGGTTAGTATTACAAAACAAAATCAAAAGAGATGTATCATTATTACTTAAGGTTCTTCCCCAATTTTGCCGAGAAGAGTTACTTAAAATTGGATGAATAAAAACAGTAAAAGTGCAGGAAGTATTGACATCAACTCGCTCTCTTTTTTAATCCCTTAAAAAAACGAAGCAATTTGAGGAGCATAGGATCAAGGAGACCGGCAATATCAGATTAGAAACATAACTCATTAAAGCTCAAAGTTCACGCCACTTCTACTTTTTATTCTCTAATATTTTCAAAGAATGGTTTCATAGCGTTAATCAAAAATCATTATGATAAGCTCGGATCTATAACATCTGAAAAACAATAAACACACGACATTAATTAATTATTGGTTCCAAAGATTACAATTACGTCAACACTTCTGAATGATTACTAATAAGAGTAAGTGGACAGTAAATTGCACAAGACTTAAAATAAGACAGTGAGATCTGTTGCAATTCTGGTGTCAAGCCTATGTCTAATGAAATTAATTTATATTTTGTAATTAAGTAATTATTTAATTTAGCAACATTAATCCATCATTATAAATGGTATTAAGCCAAATAGTAAATAACAGACTGAAATGCTTTAGAATAATCCGCGAAATTATACAGAAATAATGCAGCCGAATGATTTCGCTAATAGTTATAGCACATTTGATAATAGATCAGTGGAATCAAAGCAAAGCAGTAGAAATCCGAACGTAGAATTTAATGGCACGAACAAGTAAGCAAATATTTAAAGGACGACTGATTTATTTAATTCAATGATAAATTGAAAATCTGTAGGAAAACAAAAATTGAACTAATAAGGAATCACAAGTCATTTTGCACTATCCACTTTAAATATTATTATATTTTGTTGTACTAATATATTAAAAAGTATATTATCAAACTAATTTAATAATAAATATATTTAAAAAATATAATAAAAAGTATATTATTAAACCAAAATAAAGCTTTAAAAGAAACTCATTTTGCGAAATTTCTGGTTGCTTGTGAAAAAAGTCTTAATTGTATGCTAATATTAAGCATCTCCAAACTTCTTAGACCATCAGTTTATGGACAAAAACAGCGGTTGCAGTCGGGACATGTAAGCGAATCAGAAGGAGAACCACACAGGAGCAGAGAATCATCATCCCATATTTGTCCGGAAAGGAATTATGCAAGTAGATATGGCATGGATTTTCAGCCGGATCTTTTGATGAAACCGGACCGGAGGAGACATCGGAGACATGAAAGACGACATTCTCATCGCAGTAAACATGAGCACTGGAAACACAGACATCACCAATCAAAAATTAAGTTGTACAAAGCTAAAAATTTATAACTTAATCCAACACTACGAACAGCGTAATTCTGATGCTACCGTTTATCAGTACCGAAATCGGTTTTCATAGCATGCTTAAGGTTCATGACGGAACTGATTTTTGGACCGCTTTATTAATTACAGGAACTTGATGAAAGGAGCATTCAGTAGTTAATGTATACTGTTAAGTATTAATTTGAAATAAACGAAGCCTTTTTTGGCACTTATAAAGTCATTTAATATTTTAAGCTATGACAAAAGGATATGTGACAAGTTTTGGAAGAGTTTATGTGGTTTTTTTAAAACAAAAGAAAAACATCACCGAAAACACCGAAGGCACAGAAAACACGGGAAACGTGAGTGCTTCGTAGCCGTTTTTTTTTTCAAGTTTCTTGAAGTAATAATTATTTTTAATATTCAGACGTATATTTGCAGATCGCCACCGCGTTTGGGAACAAGCATTGACCGGTGAAGGATACCCAACTGTACAAGGCGCGATTTCTGCTAATTCACCACTGGAAGAAAAGGTTTTACAGACGGTACCTCCTCCTCAATCAACGATACCAGGATATTCAACCTGGCCTGGGACAGTAGATCAGAAAAGAAAGGGAAATGAAGAAAAGATTGAAGAAAAGGAGAAATCGAGTGAAAAAGTTACAAAATCAAGTATGATATTGAATTTCTCGAATAATAAATCAATCCGGGGAGAATTTTAAAGCTTAAGAAATGCAAAAATAGCATCGAGAAGGAACTATATAAGGCAAGAGAAATATTCATCTTTATGTTTATTTAATATTTATAGAATTTTAACTACCAATAATGATGTTAGTTTAGTTGACTTGTCACAATAATGTAAAATTTGAAATTTTGTTAAAAACTTAGGTATTCACTTATGAATATTGAAGTTTTGAAAAAGAACTTCCAAAAAAAAAACAGTATTTTCAACTTTGAATTTTTTGCTAGATCAGTTTTTCAACTCTGTTAAGAAACATTCCGACATTAAATGAATAAATACAATCATATCAATATTCTTTGAAAATTTCAACTGTAATAATTGGTCATAATTCCAACTTCAACTTCTAAAAAATTTTATTTTACTTTTAGCATCGGTGGAACAAATGCAGCAAAAAACGCAGGAAACTGTATGTTTTACAAAGTTGCTCTGATTTCATTTCTAACTTTAGTTCTCTCTCCGAAGTTGCTAAGGTTTCGTTATTCCCAAGTAAATTATCTGCTAAAATCCTTTCCCTCCCCGAATAATTTCTTTTTTTTCAAATTTAATTTAAAAAGGTCTAAAGTATCCTTTTTTTTAGTGTTGAAAGTTCAACGAGTATCCTAAATGAATAAAACTAAGAAGTACAATGACAACTGAAAATTGAGCTAAAATACGATTATGAATTAATGAGTTCAGAATAAAGAAGTGAAATTTCTTCCAACATTAAAGACAAGAACAATTTCTTTAAAAATTTTCGATTAATCATCGTTATTTACAAAATAATATTTATCTTTTTACTAGTAAAGTATGATCAGTATTCGTTTATTTTCAAAAAACTACTAACAATGTAGAAATTTTTTTTTTTGACTTCAAAATTTTCAATTTGCAGTTGGATTCGTTGTCATTCAATCGTTATCATTGATATTTGTAAGAAATGAGAAAGAACCCAGTAGAAAGTGTAATTTAGGATTATAATGAGTGAGCTAAAATGGAAGAGCAAAATGTCGTTCTCATTTTGTGTGACTCAACTTGATTTCACGCTTTAAGATATCAAGAACAAAAACAAGCGAGGAATCGTCTCCAGTCAAACGTGAGCCGATCGATGATGACAATCAACGTGAGCTTCATGATTTAAATTACCATGCAATTGTTCTATAATTTTTATATTGTTTTGTATCATTTAACATTTATTCTATGATTAGTATATATCAAAGAGTGAATTGCATTTCATGTATTTTTAATAATCTTAGCGTGAACTAATTTAGAAGACTTTATTATCTTTTCTTTCTTAAAGTTTCTTCTAATGCAGTTTTGCACCACAAGTTCAACTAATATTACAGAAATGCGACAAAAAAGAAAAATAATTCAGTTTATCGAGAGAATTGCGAAAGTTGGAATGGAAAAGATGAAAGATGAATTCGTCCACTGTCGAACTTTCATCCCGAATGCCGTTACTCGGATTGCGCACGATCAGAATTTAAAAAGATGCCGATTTCCAGGCATGATTTTGGTCTAGAGTGTCTGGTTTTTTTCCTACATCATCATAAACTTGAATATTTAAAAACATTTTAAATCCTGTAAATTTACTTCCAAGATTCTTACTTTTATAAAACAGTTAATTTTAGTTGCAACAAATTCCATCACTTTTGATCTTAAGGCTGTTCTGAGTGAAATAATATTATTTTATATTAAAAATTTATGTGAAATTGTTCCACTTGAATTCTAATTTTTATTCAGATGTAATATGCATTGACCAGACACGTGTTGTGCTCAAAACTAGGGACGGAGATTCGGATTTTATACACGCAAGTCGAGTTCCACTCGGAGACAATCCCAATGAGGTTCATCAGAACCATTCAATCTCTGATATATATTTTTCTCTTGCAGAGATAAGAAATGGTATATTCTGTGTATATTTGTCCTATTGTTCCAAATGTTCAGCGTTTAGATTATCATCACGCAATTGCCGTTATCGAATACGGTAAAACATTTCTGGGAAATGGTTTGGCAAGAAAATGTTCGAACAATATTGTTGTTTTTAACGTTAAATGAATGGAAGCAACACGGCGAAAATATCCAGTTGATTCCTGGAAAAGGGTTTATTTCCAATGATTAAATTAAAGTTAGGTTCAGAGATGCAATTTCTCATTATCTTAGCAGTCATTTCATTGTCTTATTAACTTTTGTTTTAAATTTCAGTTTTGAATTGTGGATTTGTAAACTTTGAAATATTGTAGAAAGTGTTTGCACATTGAAGACATTGCGGTGCTGACGCATAAAAATGAAGTTAATATCACACGTGATTGGTTGGTACGTGAGTATTACCTGTCAAAAAATGATGAAACACGTCGTATTTTATGGTATCACTACAGTGCATGGGAACCAAACAGATCACCAAAAGACTGCGAACATTTATGGCCTTTACATTCATCTCTAAGGTATACTTACTCATTAAGTATCTTAACTTACCAATGAAAATTAACTGTTTCCTTTTTTCGTAATCCATGTAGATCCAAAAAGCTATCGTTGTTTACAGCATGAGTTACTCAATCGTTTATTATAGATAACAACCATTCAGATCCTTTTATAGGGCTTTGCTTATCCATTTTGAAATACAATTAGATCTTTTTTTTTTTAATTTAGAAAAATGCACCGCCCATATGTATGCATGAGTCTTGCTGGCGCTGGAAGAGCTGGATGTTATGCGGCTTTAGAAGTATGAACTGAATAGATTTTTTATTGATAAGATAAGAACTATCAATATTTTTGCATATTTTTTTTAACGAATGAAAGAATTGAGTACCAATCAAATTTTGAAGCAGTTGAGTAAGATAACATTAGCATTGGTAATCTTTGATTATTGAAAAAATTTGAAGTAAATTTCTAAATTAGTTTCGAATTTTTTAGTGTCAGATTTATGCAAAATTCTCAAAATAAACTTGATATTTCATTGAAGTGTTATTTCAGTGGGCACATTTAATGCTTCATGATAAGAGAGCTTCAGCAATAAACATTGTTGAGTGTGTACGCAAAGTTCGTACGTATCGAATGCATGCTGTACAAACAATTGCACAATTTCAGTTTCTCTATATGGGCATTCAGCGTCACATTTTCCTTGTTGAGGTGTCATCGAACTCAGAGACATTACGATAAATCAGCTATTTTTTGATTGCCCAGCTGATTTATTGTTTAAGCTTTGAATTAAATTATTAAGTGCTTTTAAAAATGAACTATTTTTGATTTTCGGACAGTGAAAATTCCTATTCATGAAGATCGCAAGCAATATCGACACCACCTTTTAGTCTACAATCTAGCTTTCTCTTAATCGTTTTTCTATAATTCGGTAATATAATTTTAGCTTTAGCTATTTTCTGGCTATTTTAAGTACATTTAAGTACATAGCTATTTTAATTATGCTACATTGAGTAATAAATCTTATCTTATTACTATAATTGTTTTTTTTTTTAATGTTTTTATTAGGTACATTATTTTAAAATTTGATGTTTGATCAATTGATCAAAATCATTTCAGAAATTTAGAAAAGAAATTTTGTCCGAGCAATCAATATTTGAAGCGACAAAAAAGTGTTCTTTAATTGAATACAACTACTACCGATCTGGCGGTTATCCAACAGATGATGATTTTGATCTGTAATTTGAGCTTCTAATTTCTAAATTATGTAATATATGCATTGTTCTGGTAATAAATAAGCGAAAATAAAAGTATATAAGTAATAATTTGGCTCTTTATGTGACACACTCTTGACATACTTTGTCATCACTTCAATTTAAATACCTTTTAAAAACTTTGATTTAAATAGTTCCTACTATTACTTAATAAACTTGTTATTAAAAATCCATGTAAATCTATAAACGAAGTATTTATTGTTAGAATATGAATAAAATAGAGGCCATCTATTGAAAAGTTTTATCGATTTAAACATGATTGGTAAATATTGTTAGACTGAGTAGAACTGTTGTCACTGACCTCAGTGAAAGGTCAGGTCATTGAGTGAGTGATTCCTTAGAAATTTAATATTTCCTCTTGGATCGTTATTGCTCTCTATATCTTAAACAAGTTTATAAAAATTTGAAAAATCATCTTTTATCCCAAAATTATTCGTCACTACTGCAGCAATCCTCTAATGATGATATTAGGAGTTCAAATTGATTGAACGTACATTCATATTACTATATCATTATGCCTTTTATTCTGACATTTTGGCGTTGCTCAGATGCTGTTTCAGAGCACTTTAATATTACTGAGACAATTGCACACGTTCATCTAGTTTACTATTGAAACAAAATGCGCCAGCAAATCAATAAAATATTTAATTGATTAGTTATTTATTCCGAATTTCTCGTAAAATTAGGTAATTGAAGTATGTAAAAACCATTTTAAAGTACATGGAACGTTTTACTAGTTATGCAGATCAATCGAAATTTGATTAATTGATCTAACATAGATTATTACTAGTGATTAGCTCTTCCGAATGTAAAGAAAGTTACACAAGTTCCACCACATTATCACTCGGTACTACTCAAATAGACTTCCGCATGAGTCTAAAACTAGCGCTCTTGTCGCAAAGAATTCCGCAAATGATCGATGTGATTCCTTAACAAATAAGGACCAGTTTTTGAAACATAGCGCGTTAGTGAACCAAGTGAGTGCCTTCGATAGCAGTCTTCATTCTTTTTCGTTGTGGTAAGATTTTGACTTGAAAGCTTCCTGTCTTTTTACATTTCTCATTCCGGCAAGAACCGGACGGTGACATTACACATGTGCGTCCATTAACGAAAAGTGATTGGAGCAAAGTGCTCAAATGCTCTTTTTTACAACTGGTTCGATTTCACAAGTTTATTTTAATGCTTTGATACGGACGATGATCGTTTGCTTTCTTTCCACAGTCACTTCATCCTTTTAAAAATTTATTTTTTATAAAGGGGAAGAGGGAAGACAGAAATAATATGTCAATTCTGCTGAGTTCAGTGTCCTACATGAATTTCTTTCTACCGATGTATATGAATACGCAGAGAAATGATACCAAGCATCTGAAAGGAAGAAATATCGGAATTTAAAGCTGTTCAGTAATAACCTTTCACTTTTTCAACACACTACATACAGTTCAAATCAAATGTTTGTATTAAATGTTGATACGCATCAGTCATATCGAAAAAACATGAAAGATTTGCTTAGTGCTTCGACAGCTTAATGATAATGCTTGTTTCAAATGCAGAAGGTCAGCGGTTTTCTACTTTGGTAAATTTCTATTGAGTTTGAGGTCAACAAGGCACTCGTCTTTTTTCCATGTAATATCATCAATTCACATTGGATTTTGCATATATATTACTTTACACAAATTATTATCATTATTACTATTTACTACCATATTAATCTATGTGTTAGTTACCACCAAAGAATTCCAGGAAATCCCGGAAACTATTGTTCCCGCTTTTCCTGGAACAGCTCAGTCCCGAACAGCGACGAGCGATATTTACAAAGGGCAGAGAGTAATCAACATGAGCTGATGACTCACATTTACTAAGGATTCCTCGTTCAAGAGAAATATATATATCAACTATGTTGCAAATGATAACACTGATAATATGTGCACGTGTATTGGTTATACTTTTCTGTTTACATCCCTTTTCCCTTGCTCCTTCTTTCTCTCTACCTTGATTTCTTCATTTCTCCCATCACAGTTGCTCCTCACAAACACACTTTCTTGTGATCACTGCAATAACAAGTTTACTTTTCCCAAAATCCATTCAAGTCATTGGAAACTCTTAAAACAATCTTTAACACACTACACACATATCTTACCAGATCCTATCCTTTACTCTTAATCTTTATTGCTATCTGTTTGACTGCTTAGTTAAGAACAGCTGTCTTTATAGATTATCATATTAGTATCGGTTTTTTAGATTCTATTGACTGCTCTTCTTTGGCTCTTATATAACTGTTAACCAGGACCGACGATCATTTCCCTGACTTTCACTTCTTTCAAGTTGATATTCAGAACTTGAATTTGGACCTTCGAGAACGATTAAGAAAATATCAGCGGGAGAATAACAGCAATATGAATGCCGATGGCAGTGCACTTAAGGTTTGTTACTTGTTCCTAATTGTTTTATTGATATTAGACTGTTTGTTAACAAAGTATATATGTCCACTAGCAAATTAATGGATTCATAACAATTAAAAATGATCGATAAAAGAAAACAATAGTACAATATTAGCTGCTATATCTGTCGTTAACAACAATTAAATCATTTAAATGATGCAGTTATTAAAACATTCCCATATATAAGGTTGTCTATAAATTTCTACCATTTTTATTAAAATCGCTTATCTTTTGATCGTTCAACAAAATGTCACATATTTTCATAATTTGGTTATCATCCTCATTCATTAGTTGTTTTTAAGAGAAAAGGTAAATGATTTATTCATGACAGATATGATAATTAATAGCATTTAATCGAGGCATAACCTGATATCAGAACTGAATATATAGAGAGACTTCCATTATGAGAGCTCTTTATGTTGCGATCAAATGACTACATATCATGATTTCAAGTTTTTTGGTTAAGAAGAAAGTTGCATGGATAAAACTGTCGACGTATAGCAACAATAATGAGAAAATAATGGGTTTAGAGATGCAGTGATAAAACGGCATTGCTTCTGATACACGAAGACAAAACAAGTAAGAGTTACCTGGGAGTGATAATATATGCTTCCATGGTCTTTTTTACCCGTTCCATAGGCAATTAGATCTTTCGGGTAAAAGAAGGAAAAGCATGCAGATGATTTCAGTATCTCATCTCTTCTTATTGCTGCCTGAAGTTGCTGGGATATATTCGAAGGCATCTAGTATCAGTTACAGTAAGCATAGTTGGCAAATTATATGCATAGCTTTTATTTCAATTTGTGCTTCTGAAATGAAAGTAAAAATGATAACGAAAATAATGGATTATCTATCACATAGGTTTATCTCTCATTATGAGTTTAGATAATGACTCATGACGAAGTGTTCGAGAATTCAAGAAATTCGTCATTTGAATGCTTATCTCATCTCGGGAAGTGCACGACTCTACCCTTCCGGTTAGATTTTAGCTCAAGTCGGCTTCTGCTTGTGAAAAGTTTCAAAAAATTCATTGTTGGTCTTCCTTCCAAGTTTTCTTCTAAAAGACTCAGTTTGCCTTTCTTGGCAGCGAGCTTTCTCCGTCGATTTCATTTCCATCGGCGTCAAACGCTCTCAGCGCCCTCTCAAAGCTACCCGTCCACTTCCCCTCATTCCCTGATGAATGCTTCTCTCGTCTTACTTCACTGCACATATGTGATGTGATGTCTATATGCGCTCTTCCCTTCTGTGTGTTCGTGTGTGTATGTCTCCCATGTGTGTCTGTGTTTGCGTTCGTGTGTGTATGTGTGTAGGTATACGTGTCGGTGCGGGCAAGTGCGGATACGACTGTGTATGCACGGATGTGTGTGTATAAATGGGAAGCGAAATGTGATGGGAGTAGAGGGACAGAATAACTTAGCTAAAATCGTTATAAGGAAGCAGCCAACACTTTTTGCAGAAACACAGAGGATGTGGAAGGCTCTTTTTAGGATTTGGTATGAATGAAAGAGGTTGACAAGAAGGAAGAGGGAAATAGCCCGAACTCTGCCCGTAATTGCTTGCTTTCGAGATTTCAAATTGGGATGCAAATCGATAGTGGTAGTGTTAGCTTTGTATTGCCCAGCTGAGAACATTGTGCCATTTTCTGTTGTACTGTGAGGTGCTCGCTGCGCTATACTTCCTGTTGTTTTCGGTGGTTACATTCCTCGTGTACCGTTCCAATTCCATGAAACTCTTTTGTTGCCGAATGTGTTCCCTTTTAGAATAAAACTTCCACTGTTTCCAAATCACCAACAACTAATGCTATCATTCTTGAAGTCCCTCAATTCAATTTAATTTCTTTTCTGTTTCGACACATTCTCAGTAAGAGATGATGATAAGTGGAGAGAGAAGTAAAGTGGTGTGATGTGAGATAGTATAGTCTTTTACTAGAAACTGGTTGGGAATTAATTTTTGGTCAGAATTCGGTTATTCTGTTGGATTGTGCAAATTTAAAGAAAAAGTATTTGCTTGTTTACTTTAGTGGAAATTTATGTTGTATTGCTGAAATCAGTTTACAGTCATCTCACTGACTTCCGGAAAACAACAGAGAATCATCCCTTTTCTTTAGAGTCCTTGAATGAGTATGGGATAATGTCACGACAGACAGTAAAGCTTTGCAGTAAAATTAAAAAAATTTTTTCTTTTGCACCACTTTCGTCTTTTTATTGTCTAATTCATATGAAATGCTTCGCCGGAAAAGTCGGAATTCGTTTAAAGTCATAATTTTCATTAAAATCGTTAAATTTTTGCGACAAAATTCGAAAAACATAAAAGCGATGGTTTTTTGTCGTTTAGTCTTCCCGTCGAAAAAAAAGCGCGTGACATCTGAACACTTGTTTGATATATGTCATAGTGTTATGTTGACATAGCAGTTGCTCTGTGGTGTTAGGCTCTTCATTTTCATATTTCTGGTGACGGTAGAATTGAATATCGAATTGCTTTTGATTATCCAAATACGCAATGAATATTTCAGAAATTTGCTTTTTTCGTC